GCGCCCCCCAGCTTTGGGAACAGAGAGGCCACTTCCTGCCCTTTGTGCCCCCCCCCCCCCCCCAAATGATGTTCATAGCGGGGGCGAACGGCCCACTTCCTGCCCTATCCGGCCCTCTTGGCTCGTGCGAGTGATCATGGCGGCCTGCTTCACTGGCGGCAGTCCTTGATTGGCTCCATGGTGTTCTTCGGGACATGCACGAAAATGCTTATGGCCGTCGGGTTTTCGGCCTCGCCTCTTCTGCCGGATGCAGTTTTTTTCGGGGCCGACACAAATTGAAATGACGATTTTGTCTAGTCATCCTTGACTTTTCTTTCCGCCCTTCTCTTTCTGGAGTGCGTGTCCGGTGATGTTCGCCAACACATAACCCCACAACGGGCGCACGATTCTGCCAGACTTCCCGTAAACTTTTCACTCCCACACCGCGGCATGATCTGAGTCGCTAGGCACAAAAGCTGCTTGGCCTTTTCTCTGTTTGTTTCGTCCCATTTTTTATTTATTTTTAATGTATTTATTTTTTTTTCGGGGCCCTTCCCCTTATCCCTTTGTGTGTGGAAGGGACGCAGATGGGACGAAATTTTGAGGTGTCGAATTTTGTGGGGGCAGCAGATACCGCGCACTGCCACTCAGGCGTAGGAACGGCCCCGAGAAAAGGGGGTCTCCCAGGATCGAAAGTCCAGAGGCATCTTATTGAGAGCGGAAAGGGATGAGGGCCCGAGGGGGACATCGCCATTGGGGTCTGTTCAGTCAGCTTGCTGGAAAGGGACATGTGCAGGTCCCTCGGCAGATGGCCCAGAGAGCACCCTCCGGATGTGCCAAACAGTCGGTGGTTGGCGGTTCGGAGTCCCGTTTGCACTCTTATAGGGGCCTGCGTGCTTAGCAGCCCCCTTGGAGTCGACGAAGGCGACGTTCCGGGCATGGGTTTGGGGACCTTGTACTCGAGTTACGRGGGACTCTCTGCACACGCTTTGGGTGGTTTCCAGTTTGAGAGGGACAGGCAAGTCGTGCTTTGGTGGTCGAGCGAACATTTTTGCGGCGCCGTTCGGGTCCATGGTCGTCTCTCTCGGAGGGCTTCTTTCACGACAGCTCGGTCGTCGTTTTCGGCGGTCGTGGCTGTCGGGGCTTTCCTATGCCGTGGTGCCGGGTTGTGGATBGTTGCGTTCACCCTCGCTCATCGTCTTGTGATGATTGGCGCCTGATCGCCGACGGCGGTCCGGTTGGCGGTCGTTTGCAGGGTGTGGAGGCGGAGGTGCCCGTCACCGGCTCTCAGCTTCGGCACCGTCATCCCGTAGGTAAGGGGGAGAGCTGTTGCGGCTCTGTTGTGGTGTGGTCTTCGTGTCCGCACTCACAACGGCGCGTTCCGTTTGTGTTGAGGGGGTGTCACGACTTTGTGAGGACGCTCTGCGCTCTTCGCCATCGGAGCGGCGCCATTGAGCGGTGGCGCAGGTGGCCTCGGTCATGCACGCGCTGCTTACCGTATGCGAGGGCAGAGACTTGTGGGATGCGTGATGCACCCTCCGACGGCGTCGCGAGGCTGGGCCCGTCATCCACCCGACTTTTTGGAATGCGCGCTTGTGCCCGTCTTGTCCCCCATACTGTGGTCTCGGTATGCTGCACACTGTGACGGATCGCGTTGCGTCGTGGTTCCGCTGCGTTTAGGTTGTGGGCTTCGAAGGCTACTGTCCTTTGTCTCCTGGGTTTCGCCTGCGTCGAGTGCTGTTGGTGGTGCCCGCGGCAACCGGCGGGTGTGGGCCCAGGGGGGAGAGGGGTTGTGTTCCTTTTGCGCCCCCGTGCACAGGTGGAGGCTTCCCGTCCATCCGGGCGTGTTGGAAGTGTGGTGCATTCATTTCTCTCTTCACCCGCGTTTCTTGATGGAGAGATGAGGCTGTTCACTTCGCTGTCGGTACGTTTTGGGCGGGCGGTGGCATCCGGCTGTGGGCCGAAGCGATCGGTGGTTCCTTCGCGCACGCCGTTGTTCGGGTAGTGTGGTTAACTTGCGATCTCTGGGTGTGGTGTGGGCGGGTGCTGTTCGCAGCCAATCTCTTGGGCGGGTGCGGCGGGCTGTGTTGGATTGTGCGGTACCTTGCCATTGGAGATGGCCTACGGAGGGAAGTTCACCTGCAATTCAAACAGCCGGACTTCGCGGCGTCTCGGCAGCTCATTGCACGTTCCACGATTGTTCGATGTTCTTTTGGTAGGCTGTCCGGCGTGACGTGCCTACGTTCGCCTCAGCCATCAATCCTTGAGGCTGCTTGTCACACCCGCTACCTCGTTGATCCTGCCAGTAGTCATATGCTTGTCTCAAAGACTAAGCCATGCACGTCTAAGTGTGAACACTTTGCACTGTGAGCACAAGGGAAGCGACCACACAGACGGAGGGAAGGATATTTGTGAGAAGCTGGGGACTACGGGGAGGCGTGTGGACGGACACGGAGGAAGGAACCAGCGAGCAGGGAGAGAGCAAAACGGAGGTGGGAGAGAAACTGGGAGTAGAAGAAAGGCAGGGGGGGGAGAGATCGATGGGTGAGATAACGGCATGGGACGAGGATGCGGCGGATTAAGGAGAAGGAAGGGAGGAGAGGGAACATACATAGCATAGATCAAGGAGGGTAGGAGTGAGAGAGAGTGATAGGAAAGGGAGGAGTAGGGACGGAAAGGAAAGGGAGGGGAAGGGCTGCGATCACCCTGTGGAGAGACCCGATCGTGGATCCCGTGCAGGGAGTTAGACGATCGGTCGTGGAGTGAACCTCTTTGAACGGAGGAGATGCAGAACCCACAAGGGGGGGGGGGGGGAAGNGGGGAGGCGTGTGGACGGACACGGAGGAAGGAACCAGCGAGCAGGGAGAGAGCAAAACGGAGGTGGGAGAGAAACTGGGAGTAGAAGAAAGGCAGGGGGGGGAGAGATCGATGGGTGAGATAACGGCATGGGACAAGGATGCGGCGGATTAAGGAGAAGGAAGGGAGGAGAGGGAACATACATAGCATAGATCAAGGAGGGTAGGAGTGAGAGAGAGTGATAGGAAAGGGAGGGATAGGGAGTGAAAGGAAAGGGAGGGGAAGGGCTGCGATCTCCCTGCGGAGAGACCTGATCGTGGATCCCGTGCAGGGAGTTAGACGATCGGTTGTGGAGTGAACCTCTTTGAACGGAGGAGATGCAGAACCCACAAGGGGGGGGGGGGGGGGGGGGGGGGAGTGGAACCTTATTAAGGCGGTACGGAAAGCGGCCTTGGGAGGGACGTTTTTGGCGGATGAAAACGCGACACACAGGATAGATGGAAGCGAAATCAGCCTGGGGGTGGGTCCGAGCATGGCGAAAGTACATGTGACATATTTACGAACACATGTGGTGCTGATCCGATTCCACGGTAAGCTAAAGGAGTTCTCCTCGACCTTGAAGATGGACTTGGTCAGACAGTGGGAGGATGGCTGGCCCCAGGAGGTCAGAGGACGCTTTAAAGGCAGAATGACGGTGCACGCGGCAGGGGCGGTGGTGTATTGGGCACCCTCGGCAATACTTTGAACATGGTTGGTGGAATCGAGGAAGGAAGAAAAGGTGAACATCAACGACCAGGAACACATGGCAACCTTCACGCCGTGGAAAACCCAGGTGGAATTAGAATGGGATAGGGTTATGGAGTGGAAACAACATCCGTGGGTCAAATTTTTGAGTCCTTCCCTGGCGGTGCGGCCTTGGTTGAGAGAGACGGCCACACACCTGTTCGGGGAGGTGTTAGATGAGGAAGGGGAACAATTGGTGGACGATATGGGGAGGGAGGAAATCCTATTCCGACTCAACCCGCCGTTGAGAAGGATTGGCCTGCAGCGACTGACAATCGATTTACGGATATACGACCGCCACGTTGTGCGGTACTTGACAAGCGAAACACCTTGGTGCACACTGTGTAGACGGCATGGCCATCTGGCAGGAAGCATGCATTGTATGACACCACAGGAAACGCGCCGGGAGATCAACAGGAGAGAGGCTAGATTGCGAGATGATCGGGCCCGGCCGGTGGATGGGAGGAAAGACCTGGAAGGGTGGATCAGATTTGAACAAGAGTATGATTACGTCATCAGCGCGGAACTGATGATGGAGGGAAGTCTGGTGGACGTGGAGGGCGTCTCAGCAGGTCGATTCCTGCCATCGGCCAGGGTACAACAACTGTCGGACCAAGTGACACCTAGAGAAGAAGGGATGGGGGATGGACAGCAGACAAAGGATCAAACAGAATGGGAAGTGGGAACTCGATTGGTTCGAATAGAAGTGCCGCAACAGATGGCTCCGGAAAACCGATCCCAAGGGGCACATGTCGAGCAACGTTTACGCGAGCCGGAATGCAGCCGCCGAGGGGAGGCGAGAAGGGATCGAGGGGGAAGGGGCCTAAGGGAAGGGGGGAAGGCAAGGATTGAGAAGTTGGAAAGCGAACAACTACAGATGTTGGATGCGGGCAGACAAGACAGACGACAGCAAGAGAAACAGGGGGGGGAGGGAGGGGACGAACGGATGGAGGAGGGAGAGGGCTCCCGAGAGGAGGTGGTAGAGGAAAGAAGGGGAGCGATGAAGGAGGACCTGGCGAGAGAACGACAACAAGGAAGGCAGCCAGGAGGGGGAGGGGAGGTGCGAATGGAGGAGGGGGATGGCTCCCATCAGAACGTAGTAGGGAAGGAGAGGATAGCGTTGAGGGAGAATCGGGAAAAGAGCAACAGGAACGGGACCTGGCGAGCGAACGACAGCAAGGAATGCAGCCACGAGGGGGAGGGGATGTGCGAATGGAGGAGGGTGATGACTCCCATCAGAATGTGGTAGGG